CTCTAAATGGATTGAGTACGGTATAATAAATGACGAGACTGCATGGCAAATTACGTTAGGATGTTTTGAAAAATTCGTTGACACGGTGAAATATCTGGCGGAAAACACCGTTTGCTCCTCCACGAATGCCCTTTTGATGACACTTTTAAATTCATATCCTGACGCATCAGAATTTCCAGGAAATTCCTGACGAAAATTGTGCCATTCACATGTGTTATTGACGAGTACACAGCACTAACAGAGAAATTAACAGTATACACTGTACAGAAAGCAAGCTAACTATATGCAGTTTATTGCAGCTTCCAACAAATCGGTGTACAAATAGGTACTCGGTACAATCGGTACTCAATCACGTAAAACATTGGTTATATTGCAATTGCGCATAAAAAATTCCCGATCACTAGTTTAATTATTAAGTCTTTTTTTTTTTTTTTTTGCAATGAGATGTGAACGTTTGTGATTGTTATTGACAAATAGTGAGTAAATAGGTAACTTGGTCCGAGAGAAGAATATGAATGTTCGACAATATACATGGAGCTCACGGCACCTGCATTCGATTTGATCGTTAGATTTAGCCAGGATTAAGCGAGAGAAGCAAGGAGAGACTAGTTGAGTTACAAATCCGAAACGTGGGTATTTACTCAATGACCACTTCATAACTTAGCAGTATTATTTATCATCGTGATCTTAATAGATAAATTCACATTTGTACACAAATTTTTACAGCAAACTGACCCCACGAATACGTAACTCGAAAAAATATTTTTTTTACAACGATTTTCTGGTTATGCACTGTAGCTTGCTGACTTATAGTAAAATCTAATTATTTATTTGTTGACGCCGAGACGTTTTAGTCAATGCTTATTCAGTACGAAAAATAAATATTTACACAAAATTTGATATATTGACGGCCGAATAATAAAGATTTAAGCTTAAATTTATTCAGTTCTTCAATATGATTATTGATTGTTCAGTTAATTCTATTATTAAGAAGTTCCAACATTTTGAATTCCTCTCTCGTCTATCCCACCAATGATAATATTGAATTGGCTGGTATTTTCACTGAAGTACTCAGCACCAGGTTTACCCGGAGCCCCAACTTCAATGTTAATGGTAAGCCGATATCTCCATGAAGGATAACACAGCGTTTAATGTCACGTTGAAGTCGCGGTGCCCACAACGAGCGTTAAATTATTCTCTCCAAGGCGGCGGTCAGCTCCTGATCCGCAAATAGATGTTCTTTCTGCGGTAAAATCTGAACGCTGACAATAGTTGCACCGCTCTAGGTTTTTGCCTTTGAATTTCAAATGCTGGAACCCGAAACAAAATTCGAGGAAGTGTCGGAGCATCAGCGGCAGGGCTGCCAAGGCCAGCACGAGGAAGCGACAGATGTACAGCGGAGCCGCGACATCGACGTCGCGAGGATGTAACGCAGCGATTTTGTTACCTGGAAATATAATATAATGTGTTAAAAATTTCTCGAAATAAAAGCGTATGATTCTGGGAGAAGATATCCCCAAAACTTTGACGCTTGACATATTTGGCTCTAATGAGAATGATCTATTGCGTGCTACTGGAATATATTTGATCGAATAAATTTAGTTTTATGTTTTAGATTTTATCGATTGTCATTTTCAAACCAGCAATAATGCGAAAAGTAGGTGTACAGTTCATCGTTGTCTGGTGGGATTTTAGACACGTTAAAAAATGGACCACAGTGTGCACATCGTTTGAAATGTGGTCTAAGTTAAACTGTGCGTTGTTTGAGCTTAGTTGATTTTAACAGTTTTTCTTTGGTTATAAAAGTTGTCACTTATTCAGAACAAATTTTCAGTCATCACCGGCTTACCGTTTTTCCTCCATATTTTTTAATTAAAATATATAATTTTTCACACGCGCTTGCATGAAATAATTTACAACCCTGTCAAAATTTTCGTGCCGATTAAGGTCGTTTTAGAGGAACTATATTCGGCTTAGGGGTGAATCAGGAGCACCCTGTCAAAATTTTCGTGCCGATTAAGGTCGTTTTAGAGGAACTATATTCGGCTTAGGGGTGAATCAGGAGCAAGTCTGCCACGTAGGGTGTTTTGCTTCTATTTACCAGCCTCTTTTGGAAGTCAATTGCCCGGTAGGCCAAATCTGCGTAATATGATTAAAGAGAGCAGCTGGTCAAGCTTCGTCATGATGCCCCTGGTCAAACGCTGATGACGCTATCGCACGATGGGGCTGGTCAGATGCTGAACAAGGTAAACGCACGAACAATCGAAGTTCCCGCCATTCGGGGGTATGCGGCTCTACCTCCCGCACCCCCATCCGGACAGAGCATACCGTTGCAGCAATTGAATAGGAAGGCGCCAGTTTGAATCGAACCTTCATCTCGACGAGTAATTTCACAAGATTCCATTTCGGCGCTTATTTCGCTACGGCAACCGGAACCTAATGCGGACATAGAGCTTCTAATTTACCCGGCCATAAGAACTTGGGGCGTCCGTGTGCCAGCGGCTGACAGGTCTTCGAATTTCGATAGGGATAAATGCTGATGTTTTGGGCGAATGCTAAACGTGGTCATAATCGAAATAAATAATATATACTTTGTGCCAAAAATTTTTATCTAGGGAAAGCATCGTCAGATCGACTCATATCTGACCGATGTTTTGGTCTGCAATTTTTAGACCATTGGTCGCTTCACATTGAGTTGTGGATATCAAACGACGAGTCAGAAAATGTTAAGTGATGCTTCTGGTTCTGTCACAGCGCAATCACCGCTAGCTTCTCGTTACGGATTTTTAATTTTTTCAAAGACCTCAAATGAGTGCAAAACTTGATCAAAGTGTACCATGACAGCAATTCAAGTTTCAAGCTGACATCAAAGTTTGACTTAACTTAAGATTTTCATGGCTAGAAAAACATGCGAACGTTCATTTTGAGTGTAGAAGCAACACGCAATGCTGTTTTATGTGGACAGAATGTTTATGAACATATTTTTTGTCCCTGAAACCTTTTAAAACTTCGCAAAATTTAAATGGGCGTACTTTTCGAACTTGTAGCGCAAGTTTGATCTAAAAATTGTGCCAGTTAACCGATCCTGAGGAGTGAATATGTGTTAAAAATTGTGGGTTAATTTCAATGTGTATAGTTTTATTGCTTGTTTGACGGACAGTTTTAATATTTTTTTACTGTCTGTGTATTTATGAGTTACGATAATTATTCTTTATCATGGGCCTATGCCTGTGTAAGGGCAAAGTACCGACTTGCTTCAATCGTCTTATTTTCCGGATACCGTGGTTTATTTTTACAAGAATTTCATCAATAGATTTAGATCACGTCCTCTCACTCTCAACAGGTGAGACCGTAAAACACTATATTTATTCGAAATCTCGTTTGGTTACCATATATTTTGCGACATCTTAATTAGTTTCTATTTGATATCATTAACAACAACATTGGACCATTCCATTAAATGAAATGAATTATATTTCATTTGTGTCCGACTAGAAATGCTTATTTATACTCGTTTCGCGTGCTTCTCACAGGTCAAACCTACACTTCCTACTAATCTGAATATATTGTCACGGCTAAAATTGCTCAAATTTGCTTCAATGTGTTAGAAGCCGATAAGTTTCAGTTAGCCTTCACAAAATAATGCTTCAAAAATAAATGCTTGTGTCATAGCTCACCCACCTGCAGTGATATATACGGAGATACTATCAGCCAGCGTGTTGTCTGCGTCGCATGTGTAGTTGCCTGAGTCGGAGGGTCGGGCGTCGGCGATGGTGAGACGCGACATGACGCGAGGCTCCGTTTCCATGTGAACGACCACACCACCGCGCTCCTGGTCGTAGTTGATCATGCGCGAGTCGTGGTACCAGAAAATGTACAACGGCGCCACGCGACTCTGGAATTCAAGAAAAATAAGCATTTTCTTTAGTTATTTATGAAATTTGCCACGTGACTCTGGAGATGAGGAAAAAAAGCCTTTTCTTTAGTTATTTACGAAATTTTCCAGTGTCAGGTCCATGTTAATAAAGCCCGATTTGTGGTACCGAAATATGTACAACGGCAACGCGCGACTCTTGAGATCATAAAACTATGGCCTTTCTGTAAATATTTGTTGATTTTCATAAATAACGCTGGTCTAAACTAGAACTTTTGGTGTAGTGTTGGCAAGAACTCAAACTATTCGGAGCTGGGTGAGCAATAGCAATGAATTAGAGTTCGAAATCTGTTGAGTCAGCAAAGCTTGATTTAAAGTATGACATTCGAGGCTTTAGAAAACAAATGCAATCATACACACAAGAATTTTAAGAACTCAATAAAAATCCAGTCTTGCCTAGTGTCTCAAAAGAAATGGCAAAATTTACTAGCTCACATACGAGAAAACTTCACTGTAAATTCCTCGTGACTTCATATTTATCTTGGAATCTGTCGTTTCTTTCAATTTGTAAGGCGCACTAAATCCACAAGAAAATGTTAAAATTATCTAACATTGAACTTTTGGTTGGAGCAATTTTTTCCTTCTTCCTGATGTTTCCCTTTGCAGACGGCGATGTGTATGAAAATTTGTCCATCTGACATAGAATAACTTCTGTCAGTATTCCAGTTTAATGCAATGAAGTGGAAGTCGAAAATGAGTTACAGTAGAAGCTAACACTTACTTAAAGACTGAAATTTGTTATATTAGTTTGAGAATGTGAACATATATTCAAATAAGAATACACGCCTTTTCAGTGGAGAATTACTGACCTGCTCTACGTAACAAGTAAGTGAGATGGTAGTGCCAGAGTCGACATGGTACTCTCCGTTGCCAGGTATCACGGCCTTTGGTTCCACCACAGTCAAGTGCACCAGGTGTGATACCAGACCACCTCCACTCATGAGCTGTAGTACCACAAATAAAAGATTCAAGTAGTAATTAAATTTAGCATAAGAATCCTAAGTTTTGACTTTAAACTTAGCTGCACGTTAGAGCGCAAACGTAGAAGATATAACACAACCGTAATCTTTACAACGCTATCTGTGTTGGATTGCTTCCACACAGAAATTAAAAAAAAGACATTATCATCATGTTTACTGCAAAAAACGATTAAAGTTTTTATGCAAATTGTATAGTTAGGCAAAGAAAACGTATGTGTTCCTCTTATATATTGGGGTAATATTTATAGTTTAATGGCAAACAGTGCTCGTGTCATCAGATCGTCGCCATAGCAACGAATGATCGTGCAGTCAAAATTTGCTTTTATTTCAGCAAGTTAGAAACTAATTTGGGGAGGAATGTTTTGGTACTAGTGAATAATATGCATAAAAAGGCAAACTACATCTAGGCCCCGTTATTATTTCGAAAAGTGAGTGAACTTTGAAGCAGGTAATAAAGATTTTCCATAAGATTTTCATTGAGACGTTACAATAAATAGATCAACAAGATGAGTTTACTTGTAAAAATAACAGTGACTGCTGTTGTAATAATAGCAGCAGCACAAATAAAAGTGACTATAGGCAGCAGCACAAGTGATAGTGACTGTTAATAGGTGCTGACTGCAGAACGAATTCCTCGATCGTGAATATCTTGACCAATACAGACAGACCTGGCATTCGTATGTTCCAGCATCTTGCAGCTTCACGTATTTGATGACCAGCGTCCACTCAGTGCTTCCCTCAGGGTGATGAACGTCGTAGCGCTGTTCTTTAGTGTACGTGACTGTTCCAGACGTCAGAATGTGCCAGTCTCTTCGCCGCACCCACGAGACTTGTGGGATAAACTGAAGACCAGAGGCGCACAGATTACTCTTACAGACACCATGGCAACGTGAGAGTAAGCTTGATCACTGTTATGAAAAGTAATATGAATCAAATTTGTGTGTTGAATTGAGTGACGCCAGTCGTTCGACCGAAGAGAGATTATAATTATTGCATATTATACGGGATAATTTTACTTACGCTACTGTAAACTCACACGCTGGGAGGACGAGTAAAGAACAAACTAATATGTGAAACATACTTAGTTGAACAGACATTAACGATGCTCTGTTTTATTCATTGCCGATTATTTTGCTTCCAGATGAATTTCTAGAAAAAATTTTCAGTATATATAGTGAGTTTTTTCGTTGGGAATAAAATTAGCACAAATTAATGGACCGTCGATCTCAGTATGATGCTAAATATTGCGGAAATTAAAATTTTAAATGAATGAAACCGATTTCAGAGTCCGCATATGAAACCGATTTCAGAATCCTGTCCGAAATGCACATTGTGCATTTGGCACTTGTGCATTTTTGTGCATTTGACACTTGGTCTCGAGGTCGCCAAACAAAATACGAAATAGAGGACCAGGATTTGCACGTTTAATAACAAGGATTTGAACGATATGGCGCTTTGCAAATCCATCCGCCGAAAACTGTGATGTTTATTCCAGTTGTATGAACCAATTATTCGTCACGATGCAATCCGATAAATTTTGGTTTTATTGAACCTGCGCAAAAATTTGCCGATTTCATGTACGCGTTTTAACTGTTAAAAGCCAATATGAAGTTCATCAAGGTTAATAAAAGTGTTATGCATGGCAGTTTAATGCCGCGATGTGCTTCCTCGTCTTTAGTGAACCTGAACCAATAAAAAACTCAGAATGTGTTTGATCTATCATTGATTTGCACGTGGCCCGGACATCGTTTTAGTCTGTTTTAACATCGTGATATGTTTTAGTTATGGTTCGGTGCAGACATCTAAATTGAGTTAGTGTATTTATATGTTACTTCCATTGCGTTCTGAACAGCTGGATCCTCGATTTAATCTGGATCGTGATCTAGGCGTGTGTTGGGATTGTGAAGTATTCCTGCATTCACCTACTGTTGATTTCATCAGTGTTTCTGCATGTCGGTTATTTTTGCATTAGCTCGATCTTTGCTCGAACCGAGGATCGACGAGCGACGTATTTTCTGTAAATCTCGATCGCGATACCGGCTGAAATCTCGATTAGCCGGCACTTTAGCGTGCGATGTATTTTTATAATATTTCTATCATCCTTTGGGATATGTATTTGTATCTTTTGGGATATGTATATTGGGATATAATATCTCTAACATCCTCGGTATGTTACATGCATATCTCGATCATGCCAGAAACGGATCTATCGGCGATGCATTTCAGTATTATTCTGATGGTGGCCTGAACAGCAGCCCGGTGATTGATTGTTTATTACACTTGGCGAGCTTGTAGACTGAATTAGTATGCATTGGTCAGCCGACTTCATCAGCAGAGTTGTTTCCGGTACGAATTGCTCGTCATGAATAGCAATATTGGTAAAATTGACGTGGAAAATGGCAGGTTCACGTATTCGTCGAAGTGCAGGTCACAGGAAGTGCAGGTGCAAGGATAAAGTGGTGGGCTGAAGCTTCGTGCCGTGAACGGATTGATCGATTGAACGCGATAAGTGCCCTTGTTCAGACCTCAGTATTGAATTATATCTATAGCATGTCGATAGAACTTTTTAATTCACGAAATTCCATTAGTGTCAAAACAGAAACGACACTAAATGGCTGCGACAATATAGACTATGACTTTTATTCTCTTAAGGCCAGTAGCGTATTTTTATTCAATAAATTCTGAACAATTTATGTTCAATGCACTGGTGTCCATGCAGTCACTCAGCACTTCATCGATCCCTGCGCTGTTAAATATTGGACGTACCTGGCTTGAAAAGGCTTTCAGTTCTATGAAAATATACGGAATGAAAGTTCATGTACAGTGTTACACAACGAACTCTGCAAAAAAAATTCATGGTTCGTATGAAGGTAAAATCGTTTTACTTTTCGTTATATCAATGTTCAGCTTATAATTGAAGTGGCTTCAATGGAGTTTTTTCACATATGTAAGATTAATGTCTTTCAATCTTAGCACGATATTAAAAGTTACATATAATTCAAAATTATGCACTCGGAGATCTCAGTGACACCGCAAGGCTCTATTTCATTGAGCCAACTGAAATTCATTGAGCCAACTATTTCAACTGAAGAAAGAGTAGTCAACTATTTATGGTCTTCGACAGGTGTTGACAAATGTTTCCTGTACATTTCATTCAGCAGTGTTGGGTGACCACTGCATTGTATTTACCTATCGTCACGCGTCACTGAATGATACCATCAAATGGAGGTGAGTAAACACTGTATCGTACTAACCCTCGTTCACTGAAATGTTTCGATGGGCAGGTAAAGAATATATTGTTCTTACCTTCCTGTCGCTGGAATGTTTGGTCCTGCAAGGCAAAAATACGGACTGTCCGAGCTGTGCAGTCACGTTGCTGATGAAACTATTGTTGAAAAATACGGCGGGCAGCGGCGTGGTCGTGGTCATGTCACGCAGATGAGGAGGGAGAGAAGGGATTATTTTTGACGGCATCAAAGACTCTATTGAAGGAGTTGTTGTTTTTACGGAGACTTCGACGTCGGTAATGGCTGCTTCAGCTACGGGTAAGGCCTTTGGCGCAAGAGCTGTGTAATGATCGTCTCCAGCATGGTGCCCTTTGTTGAAATTAATAAATAATCCATGGTTTCTGTGGAATTTCTTGCCCATACTTTTATCTCGTTTGATTCTCTTTGCATTGCGCCATGACTGCGGGCGCCGCGATCGGATAGGAAAAATATTCAAATTTTCCGTGACAGCAACTGCAGTAGAAACTTGCGTCGGGCTCGCTAGCCTCTGGAGACCCGTCGAAATAAACTTGCCCAGCTTTGGCAAACTCGTCACAATTTCCTTGTCGAGGGCACGTATCCCGTGCGCATCTGAACTTCTTAGCTCTTCAAGGTGATATGTGGAGATGGAAGCTGCCATGTCAGCAGATAGAGGATCACGTGGAGCGCGAGATGCCGGTCACAAGGCAACGTCGGCGTTTCCGGCAACTGCAACACAAAACAAACCAGCGTCACACTTGCGGTGCAAGAAAGCCAAGCAACATTCGCATCCCGGCGGCAAATAGTACCAGGTTCGGGAACAATTTAGCAGCCGGGGAGCCGTCCTCGCTTCACCATAGTTTAAATATTTTTCCTCCTAGGATGATGAACGAAAAAGAGAAGGAACAGCTTAATTCACTGTCAAGGTGATGACATACTCGCTAGGAATTCGAAATACGAACAATTTAATATTTTTCAATTTGCTTAACTGATTCGAATAATCTTTGAAATGACAGAAAAATTATAGAGAAAACTCTAACAAACCGGAGAAATTGGTAAATTTGTTGTACAAAGTTCATGATTAGCCAATCCAAAAATGAAAACAAATGTTTTAAGCTGGATCTAAATCGCCACGTGACGATGTAAAGTCATTCACTGAGTTCACTATTACATAATACCGCAGTTAGAAGCGATAAATTCTTCTCACTTTTCACACGTGTTTTGAGCGCGCATTAAAAATCTAAGCTATACTTTTTTTCCGGGTCCATGGGTAAACATTAAACGAAGTGAAATGTTCGAACAAATACAGTGCCCTAAATAATTAGCATTGCTCTACTACACTCACTTGAATAACATCTTGATAAGACGTTTCTTACAAAACCATATAATGCTTGAATTTGAATCTTAGCATCAGAGCAGATTTCGAAAAAATATCACGTATGAATTTGCGGTTCTACCAACTAGTGAGATCCTATTTAAAATCCGCGGAATGTGAATCTGTTTAAGAAATTAGGTTTTTCGTATTAACTAACATATATTCTGTAAATAGTTAGCGCAGGGTAGCTTTTTATTTGTAATGAGCTCTTCACGATTAAAAACGAGAAGATGTGCTTGAAGAAAATAGCCGAGATATTTTCTATCTATTGGGCGAACCCTTATACGTTTATTTTTTGTAGTATACTAACGACTGCATCTTTGGGAATGAGTGTAGAAGCATCAACCTGTATAAAACCTTACGTGTAAGCCCAAATAAATACAACTATAAATAGAACTCAAAAATCTTGTGAAGTTGAGCACCAATCTCGGCTGTTTGATTAGCATAAATTGGCTGCCTCGAATTTCAAAGAGTCACAATTATTTACCTAGTAAACCGCGACTCACTTGAAATGTTTTATTACGAAGCTCTGAATGCATAAATTGCAGTTACTTTGCGCTGAATGCATGAAATACGCCCACTGCGTACTCTGAACAATCAGGTTACGGCTACCAGGCTCAGAATAATTTAATCAGAGCTTGAAATTAGTAAATTAGGTTTTGACTTAATCAATGCGCAAAAATAACATTATCTAAGCTTGTATTCGGACAGGGCTTTGTTATACCTTATACCATGTTCGAAAATTTCCTGATGTTTTGAACGCCACTTTAGAAAATGTAACTTTGGACTTATTGTTGAGTATCATTTCAAGTTGTTCCAGAGCTTATGGATGAAAGTTCATTGCTGAAATAAATACAAACTAATCAACTGTTTCTATTGCACTTGAAATCTCCGCAGATAGCAACTGTGTTAGCTGCGATATATTTAATAAAAAAAGTCAACCCGTTGCCGGAATGTCAAGCCGTTACTATTTTCTTTTAATTGCAGTTTTATGGCATCTGGGGAAAATTCATGACCAAGTTCATGAAGCGTGATATTGTTGCGCAAAGTTCAATTATGAGAGGAGAAATATCTCTGCTTGAGAAAACGACTTGTAAGGTCGATCCCAATGAATATTTCTGTATATTCTTCTGAAATCCATTAGATGAAAAAATACCGATTGGCTGTGTTGAAATAAGACAATTAATCAAAAATCCAATCTCGTTTGTGTATACTAAAGTTTTCATTCATGGGATTGTATTGATTCGCCAATTGAATAAGCCAAAATAAATAATCCAAGTTATGCTGAATGCAAGTGAGCTTCGGTGAGCGATGAAGTCGTGAATATACAATATTAATTATCGGATTATTAATTTAGTTATCTTTGATTATATCAGGCCAAGAACTTAATAATGATGTAAAGCTAATTAGTTGCAATTTCAAAAGCAGAGAGTGAAAATTAAAAGCTACCGTTTCAACCACATTGACAAAAATATTTCCATAATGTGATTTTTAAAAGGATTTTAGTTAGGATTTCATTGCATAACTTGATTTTAAATTCAAAACTCGCTCAGTTTGAAATTTGGTGTTGTGCAATTACTTATTTGAAGAGATAAAATTAACTAAGGCTGCGAATCAATTTTATATCTCATGATGAGTTTTGGACTCACTAATTCGAATTTTCAGTCTGATAATACGATTTTTTCCATAAAGTAGTTTATATATACAGGTATTCTTGCGACTACTTTTTCGCGAGGTTTCGAGAGAATTCAAAAGAATTCTCTGGACAATCATAGCACAGTGACGAGAATTAATTGGCACTTTGGGAAGCTGGCAATAATTATTTAACTTTCAATGAGAGGAAAGTGGTAATAGAGTTTTTATATATTAGCAAAAATGAAATGAATTAAAAAATAAACATTTTCCATCCTCCGATATATATAGGAGATTGAGGTTTTTGTAGAAGTGTCCTAGCCTTGTTTGAATATAATTTATAGGTGAATTTCTACGTGATTGTCAATTTGCTCATAAACCGTCATAAATTTGCTAATTGGTCTGGTTGACCAAATTCACTGGTGAAGGAGGCAGTGCTGTTCAATCTCGTAGACCGAAGATGTTAAATTAGTTTATTTGTAACATATAAATTAAAAGAGCATTGGCGAAGCTCAGAATATGTGCTTCATGAATTAAATAAACATAATAGAGCGTTTGAATGAAATAATAGTTCAACCACTTTTTTTGATTTCATTACAGGAAAATGCAACATTCAAAATACAAAATAATAATATTTTTGGTTAATTTCATGCCGTTTCGAAGATTTCATTTAGGATGTTTCTAACAAGCGTTGATGATTTTCAATCCTGGAGATAAGAATTTTGCTTGGATTGAATTGTTCCCCGTTGAAAAGATTCGACATAGGATATTGCCCACCTGCGTTCATGAAGAGTGAAGATGTGGACTGAACTCCACAGAGTAGAGGTAGAAGTATCAGTGTCCAGTAGATGACCCTCATCTCTGTAAGTGCCAGTGCTAAGCGGGCCCTTAAATTCACCCACGAGAAAGTGCACGGAGTCGGCCAATATACTCACAAATAGGCGCGCCTGTAATCCAATGAGTCTCTTCAGTCCACCAAACAATCGCTGCTTCTTGCCTTACCTCGATGCAAACGCTCACTCGCGACTGTCGGGCCAAAATTGAAAGTGCATCTTTTTGACTTGAAGTTTGTTCCAGTGCACTTAAAGTTGGTTCCTGCATAAACTTTCATATTTATCCTCGACGCATTAACATCAGTTGAAGCAACAATTTCACGGTTTGCAAAGAAAAAGAGGTCATACAAATTTAAAATGTTCTGGAGGCCTATCGCCTTCCTCAGTAGGTGTTAATCTTAGGACGGCTCAGAATAAGTTTCAACCTCCTAGCACGTGAGCTCTATGTGGTGTGGACATGGAAGTTCGATAATTCTTTACCGAGTTCTATTCCTTGGATTTAATACTGAAGTAACAACGTTGCAATTATCAATTGAATCTGCACATTAAAAATAGTTAAACGAATACAAGCAAGAAGCACTGACTTGGTTATACTAAATAAATGTCTTGTACACTAATGGAATATATCGGTCTACAAGACTGTACACTACAGGCTATCAAAGTATTAATTAGGAGTAATTAACAGGGATCTCAGAGCGACTGGACCTCCAACGTTGGCCGAAGTCACATGAATATTTGACGGCCGTGTCCGAGGTTGCGCTCAAGATATTGAACTCATTATATTAAGCTCTACCAGAGGATCGGGTTACGTTGACTAAGGTAGTGAGGGATAAGTAAGACACATAAGTTCAGACAACGTATCTTGTATACGGGGTGGTAATACAGAGTTGCGATACAGAGGTATAAGCTACGGCATCGACCGTAAGGTCGGAGAACTCAAGCTACACGCTACATCGCGAAGTGCTCATCAGCTACTGGGGGGCTCTGCTTAAGGTTGCTAGCCCTTGTATTACCTTCGCTTCCGCCCACTACTGCGGTCTTGATCGCGTGATCTATCACGTGTCTATCAGATGTTGACTCGTCCTCAATCTCTATCAGGTCAAGTGAATTGATATCGGACAGCCGTGAGATCCCGCGTTCGGCGTCAACTATACTCGCAATTGTTGATAAAAAACGTAAAGAAAATGCATTATCTCAATGGTAGTGAACGGTAGCTTCATATGAAGAATTCCTAGGGCTTCGCCTCGACAGCTCACATGCAACCAGCGCAAGAAAAGATTGAATTCGACAATGAAAGGCAATTCACATAATAATTGATTAATTGCACACGTCAGTCATGCATTTCATAAAAAATATCTTTTCCTCCGTTGATAAATTAGCTGGCTGGTAAAAAAATACTGCTCAATACGGGTACATTTTCATTTCAGATACAATTAATTCATCCTGCGATGATCAGAAATTCAGAATAATACTTTGAATTAAAATAACCCTCATCAACTATTCTTCTATTTAACGTGTGTATGAAGCGTTAAATAAAAAATAATACTCTGATTTTGTACCAGCTAGGTACAAAATCAGACGTGATATGTTAAAAAAATATGTTAGACGTGAAAGCGAAAAACCTCATCCAGCATTTCTTATTGCCATCATCTATTTTAATTAGCCTGAAAATTATTTTTTAAAATCATCTGTGAAAAAATGGATATAGTTGACGAGAGATGGAACGGACCTTGTTTTCTTCTCATTTCAAAATATCCAGCAGTTGCAAGTCCCATCACACCTGACAGTACCTCAGCCGTGCTAATGTTCAGACGCTGCGCGGGTCATCACAACCTGCACTTAGTGTCACTTTCTTCCTCGCAACGACTGCCGCTAATCGAAAGCTGCCGAAAATCTTGGATAGGATCTTCTTGGTCAGAAGAAAGAACGAACCAAAATACGTACGAACCAAAATAACGAACCAAATACGTACGAAGGATCTAAATTATTGCTTTAGATATATCCAGTATATATATTGTATCCATGTGAACTTCAGCACATACATAAAATTTCTAAACTAAAATGGGAATTTACCATAAGCATATAATTTAATATTGATAACTCAGCGTTAACAGGCTTTGGAATACAATTTTTAATTCATATATTGGTTATGGCTGATTTATGTGAATGAACTTTCAGAATATCTTTTAGAAATTGTTCATTTAAATTACAGGAAACTTCTGACAGTTTACTTTGTAATGACAGTGTGATTCATGTCAATGTTGGTTGTCCAAAAGCATAGAATATCTATATTCGTAACATACGAATTAAATGATGTATTCGAAAAATTTAGAAGCGCAAATCATAATCAAGATCTTGAAGTTACAAATCAAAGAAATCAGTATTTGGTTGTTAAATACTGGTAGCAATAACCGCAGACTAAATCGAGGAACTGCATCTAACTAGAAAATGCACCAAGCGTTTTAAGTTTGATCCAAACATTCAAGCCTTTTTTTCACCGGATTATGCAACCACTACGCTCAGACACTGGGTTTTCGTAATTGTCGAATAATGAGAATATAATTGTTATCTATTATTCGTCTGTACATTCAGGCACATTTTTCAGGAAGCCAACTTTTTTATGGCATCTGACACAAAATTTCATGGAATGATAAAAAGAATATGGTAGCGTAAAAAACAGTCTAGAAAATATAGGTTATGTCATGGAAACTTCACCAGGTTCCTGACAAAAAAGTCCTCCACTCGGAGGAGTTTTCGCACTCTAGTTCAAAGCAACATTCGCGACTTGAAAATTTGCCATATGTCTTAGCCATAAAACGGTGGAACTGTCCTAACACTGTGTCCAATTACATGATTATATCCTTTGTGTCTTGCCATCGACGTCACTCCTTGAACAAAAGACGAATATCCATCGTATTGAGTGGACTTCAGCAACTCCATTTGTTACCTAATGCGAGATCGCGTCGAGCTTCCAGGGAATGACTGGTATTACCTGAATGTCCAGTGATCCCGGGAGCTCGCAGACAAATATCACAAAATTTAAACATTGAGAAGGACCAATGTTGCAATTATTCTATTTATAAATTACGAGATCCTGCCGCTTACTTGTGCATTGCAATCTTTAGTAACCAATCTAAATGCATATGTATTACAAACTCTGCAGGTACAATTATGACTTCATTTCATGAATTTGGAAAAATCGGCATTTAAAATGTCTCTTTATCCTTTGCGTTATGTGGTAGAAATACTCACCACTATCTACAATTTATTCAGTCTAATTTGGTGAAACATCATGAAAAAGTCCTGCGTTAGTTTCCCTTCCCACCAGTAATATGAAATCTAAAAAAATTAATCAAATATATTGAATGCATTAATAATGACTGAATTCAGGTCGAAGTCACCCCAGCAGTTGATGAAGCATCAGATTCCGGAGACGGAGAATAATGGCGTCACCGCTTCACTGTTCATAAAAGACGCGGTAAAAAAAGGGTCGTCGCAAATATATCACCTAGACTTGATCCCAGACTCTACCAATTTTCCAACATTTGCTTTTGATTGTCGAACCTTCCGGTCTATTCGAATTGTGATTTCTAACCACGCGATTCGCCGGCATTACTATCTTTATTAAGGTAGAGTAGTTGTTCAGCATAATTTTACTCTAAAAAGTAAGCATGAGCTTTTTTATGACACTTTGAATACCGGAAAAAAATACAAGCAATCTTCGTATCAATCTATCAAGGTTTCACATATATTGCAGATTGATTTGTTCTATTCAGCCGCGAAAATTGTAAATTATTGCATTAAATTAATTTAGAGTGGACACCAAAATTGGCCCAAAAATTAAAACCTGGATTTAATACATTTTCTGAATAACCACCGTCGCTGAATTCTGTACAGGAATACAGCTAGCTTGCGACCTCAGTCGGTGCGTACAGCTTAGGATGGTTGCGTACAAATGACTTACGTGGCTCACGGCAACCGATTACTGCACAATTCTTTGGCCTTTTTTCTCCGGAATTTTATTAACTTTCTCAAAATCATCATATATTTCAGTGAAGCTAATATTTTGAGGGCGACTGTTACAATTAAATGGGAACAAGATATTTGGATAAAAAATAATTTTTCGTTTACTCTCAACAGATTAGGAAAATTAGAGGTATAGTGAAAGTAGTGTCATGACAGCAAATAAATTCATAAAAATCATTAATTTAATTCTGTGTTAACTGTTAAAACATTACTTCTAGGTATAGTTGCGAGACATTCACGCAGCAAATTTTTCATGAGAGATTTGAAGGCAAGACAACAGTTCACTTTTCCACGAACTTCACAACTTGGAATTCCTCCTCGACGCATTCTTCGCAAGCTTGAGTGTTATGGAGACTTTTATCTAAATCTTGGCGGTGATCAGCCGGAAGCTGAAGTGAGGGTTTTGCGGAGAAGTAACATCTGCTCCACAACTCTAAAGTTTCTCACATCGCCCTCAAATGGATGAAAAAACATTGAAGCTCTAGCTTGTTCCTCTAGTTTGTTTCATCGTCAAAGTAAAACGAGCTTGCGGAGCTCATTTTTGTTTTTTAACGAGAAAAGACCGGCTGCCCGGAAAGAAAATTCTTGAAGTTTGCAGATACGGTTAACAGGAGCCGTGAAGAATTCGTCTTTGGAGACAGGCTTTCCTTCCAGTAAACTCGTATTGTTGAGCTGATGACCTTGCATAACAAAGATATTATTTTTAGCAAGTATTTTTAATGCAAAAATAAACGCACAACAATAGAGTGAAGATGCTATTTCGAGAAGAATTACAGGCATTACCTTGCATCATATAAGATGCACGATTGATCAAATTATGAGAAATAAAATGTTATTATAATATAATACGACTCAGGGTTGCACTGATCACCGGCTTGCACCTTAAGATTTAGCCGTCTGGATGATATATGATGTTTCAATTTCAGTTTACAAAATATTGAATGAGAATTTAATGTTTGCACTAGGAACCTTTTTAAGATCATTTATATTTATTGAAAATATCCACGAATTAAACTTGACAGGCAAATGAATGAAAGCTTTAGTTTGATAACGATAAGTGTGTTCATTTAGTTATTGTTCAAATGATATTGGAGGTTTGAGTAACAGTGACATTATGATGAAGGATCAACATTGAACAGAGTGGGGTGTGGATAAAGTAACTATTATTCCGAATTTTTGCTGGCTAAGTTTCTACAATAAAAATCGTAACCTAGTTCCTAATCTATGACTCAGCATTTACTTGGACCCTGTGGTAATTATCATTGCTTCCTTATCAGAACGCTCGAAGAGATTTGGACGACTAGCCAAGATCAATGGATTAGAAGAGCATCTTTAAAAGAAAGGAATCTAGAATGGCTTCCGTCTTATGAAGACATGGAGTTTCTTGTAGAGTACTAAAGTTTTGTACAAAGTAGAAAAACTCGAAGACCACTATTATTTTTTACAAAATAACAAAGATTGGATGTTAAGTGTAACCAGATTTACACTATACATCTAGAGTTAACAA